CTGGTTCTTCGGCGACGGCCACTTGGTGGGGCGGAGTGCAGAAAGCCCATGTTGGGAGGAAGGGGTTTCCCTAACCGAAGGTACAGCGCCTCTATCTCATTCTTCTGCTGAGTCTGAAGTTCGGCAATTTCTTTCATATGCCTAAATTAAAAAAAAAAAAAAACAGAAACAAAAAAACAAAAAACCCTCTGCTAGCAGTGTATTTGATAAAGCACCATATCTTGACGGCATAGTTAGTTATAAAAAGAAACAATACATTATTTGGCTATACAGTAAGTCACTGCTCACCCAAGAGCATGCACAATTTATAACAATCAGTTTGGAGGAGTTCAACACGAGGAAAACCAAAAGAGCTTCCACAGAATGACACTAGAACATGGATCATCACCTTATCTATAATGCAGAGTGAACAGTGCCATAAAGTCGGTTTAAAATCAGACCTACAATAGTGCAAAGAGATGCATCTTCTGTTTTCAGTAAAATCATTATCCAAAGTTTGACATTTTGGCAAGACTGCAGTCTAATGCTAGTTTCTGCTCATCACATGAGAGGAAAGAACGAACTATTCAAATCTGTAAAAACCTAGCTCTTGGGACCAGCAGCAGATCAGGCTCCTGTCAGGCTCACTCAGCCTACCTCTGAGGCTGGGCAGAGGAGTTAATATTTAAGCACCCTGAGAGCTGGTGTGAGGTGAAGTGAGGGTTTTAATCTAGCATCTGCAGGTCTGACAGTCTAAAGCACTCCTGCAGATAAGGACAAGAAAGGACACTAGTACAGCTGTCTACGCACGTGTAAACACCCAGATTATTTTTATGCAGACTTAAATAGCATCCAGATTGGAACCTAATACTATATATGAACATATAACAAGAGTTAAGGCTTGCTACCAATTTAACATACTTTTCAGTAAGGAAACTGAATATGAGAGTGCAACTGACTTGGTTGTCAAAAAAAGTTATTTTTGATTCTACTTATAAAAGGAATCAAGGAACAAAACGATGCATAAAATAACGCAGTGTGACCGTTAGGGGAAAGTCCTAGTGATGCTTAATTTTCCCAGCACCTGTTTACTCAGTATTGCTATTAAAACATGCATTCCACTAGCATATGCAGAGATGCTGCCTAGGTATCTTAACACAAGCTATCCTAACACTGTCCACCAATCCAACATACTTTTCTCTCAGGTTCTGCAATTCTTTCTTCATATCTGCATCTTCAAATTCTGAATCATTGTCACTGCTCATGTATGACGACTGCGAGTGGAAAGATGTTATGTTGATGGTAGGAATTTTTGTTCCCTGACCATTAAGTGAATCAAGGCCTTGTGAATTAGGTTTTCCAGATCTCTGCAGAAAAGCAGCTGCTTTTTTAATTAAGTCAGTGGCTGCACTACTGCTTGGTGGGGATGGCTGAGCAGCAACAGGCTGCCTGCGGAAAGACTCATCAGCAGAATCACTTGAACCCTGGTCACAGAGGACATCGACAGAAGAGGCTGTCTGCACGCGTCGGACAGCTGTCTTCAGGTCAGGGCTGGAAGGTAGCTCATCCAAATAGACGTCTGGGGGTGCGGAGAACCTTAAGCAGTGTGGCGATGCTAAAGTTAATTCATCTTGTGTGCTGATTACTGAAAACCTGCCAATAGTTTTGGCTGGTGTACTGCTGTCATGAGTTTCAGCCTGTTTTCCATAGGAACCGGAGTCTAGAGAGTCATCCCTTTGAAGGTTATTTATCACCCCATCTGCTGTAGATATCTGCATTAAATTATCTGTGTGTGCAGACGAAGTTGTGGTCTTTGCCTTCTCATTCATTTTAGAAGTTTCCATCTGTTTAGCTATGCTTGATGATGTAGGTGCAACCTGAAGAAAACAATGGAGATTAATTTTGAGCGTAACTATACCAATCAAATATAAAACTGTTTGTAGTTTCTACTTACCTGAAGGAGACCTTTCACTGTAGCAGCAGGAGCTGAAGTGATGCTTGCAGCTGAACCTGTTTAATAAGTGTTACCAATATGGTAAACTGTAGTGCAATAAAGTGCAGCACTGAAGATTGATTTAAATATCAAGTCCCTGTAATATAGGATCTAGAAAACTGGACTTTTAAAATGCAGTAGGCAATAGTGATAACAACACAAAATATCCACAGGAAGGTAGTCCGTTCAGCCTATTAATTCTGTTGATTTGGGCAATTCAGATAATAGTAGGAACGTGGAATTTCATTAGCAGATAGGAAAATTTTAGGGAGAAAAATGGAAGGAGAATGATTTCTGCATGGTACATTGGGCTCACATTAGTAAGTTATTCTTGATATCTGGGGAAAAAAAATTGCACTAAGATACTCATGCACATAAAATGCTGCAGTTGACCACAAATGGACCATTGCTTCGTGCCTTTCATTTGACAAATACCTACACCAACAGTTTAAAGTACCTGGAACGAAGCTAAACACCACACTGCTAAAAGTGGAAATTATAACCTGAAAAGATGATCACTTGGACTACAAAAGCACAGGAGAAGCAAAACATTGCTGGCAGTGTTCAAGATGTTATTTAACAACCTGGACACTGTTTTTGAAGTCAAACCAATAAATGCAAGCTTTTCGGAAAGCTGTTTTCTTATGGCACATTACACAGTGAACATAAGGCAAAAATCTGTTACTTCATAGTTCTGAAATGGTGAGATATGTTAACTGCTTTATGGTATCTAAGCTACATTAATTTTAATACACAGTGCTACGTTTTACTTGCATATTTTCTTCTTTTAGTGAGACAAACAAATGTGAAAAACCCAGGCAGAGTTTTCTTCTCATATTGGCTTAAAAGCAGTGGACTCCAACGGCACAAAGGGCTTTTTGACAATTTACCTCATTTAAGGCCCCTTACTTATCCTGCAAAAACTATATTTCTGTGCAGCTTGAAGGAGGCAGAGAATTAGTTTCAGCTCTGTAAGGCCAGTCAGATTCTGCAAGCTGCCCTGATTGCCAGGAAGTCAGGTTGAGACCTGCGGGAAAAGCAGGTTTTCCCAAAAGAAAGCAGGACATCATGTGCCCTTGACAAGGGGCAGACAAAATTTCCTTGTTCAGCCTTGGACAACCAGCAAAGACAAAATTCCGCTTTGTGAGTGAGCCCACTGCATGCTCCTGGCAACTCTGCTTTTGGGACAGAACAGTTTGATGTATACATGCTCAAGAACAATCTGCGTTATCACGGAAACCTGGTATCCAGCTGCCGTGACAGTCTTAAAGAAATGATAACCTCCCACATGACAGCAGCAGCAGAGAGTTGCAGGTTCCTCAACTCTTAAAACTTTGATGACTTACATGACAGGTGGGGGATTAATTACCCATCCTAAACAGTTTCTTGTGATGGCTCCAACTACGCTACTGTGGAAAGTGCCACTGTATCCAGGAGCACCATGAGGAAAGTACTGTTCACTAGTTCTCCTTGGGACTCTCTTGAAAATCCTGCAGGCTTGCAGTGGAGGGGCTACCCTTGATCACATCACTTTTGTCAACTCCTTTCTATGAAATCCGGGAAATCCAAGTGTTTTTCTGCTCAGGCTTTTTAATGGCATTGAAATTTACTCTTCAAAGTGCAGCAGTCCATGTGACTACCCTGTACCTAAGGCCATGGAAACACACTTATTACTTATTCATGGTTTAAAATAAATCTGCCTGTGAGGTAGTCTATTTCTGGTAAGCTTGACCAAAACGAGATATTTAATGTTTGTTATATTACAACAGGTTCAGCAACGCACTGTGCTGAGCACTGTTCTGCAGTTAACCAGAAGGATGAGCAGAAAGAGGGCACAGGAGAAGAGGTGCATGCGCTAGTAGACATATCATTACAGTTAATCACTAAAACTAGTGTTACCTTTTCTGCTTGTTGACCCACCTCTTGCTTCTGAGGAATCAACACCGGTGCCAGCGACCCCAGATTTTTCGAACTTTCAGTAAAAGGAAATAAGAAAATGAATTTCAGTCTCACATGCACAAAGCAGGAAGCCAATGCATTCTCTCCTTCTCTTTCTGCAATCACACTATGTGGGATATGAAACCCTTTTACAGTGTTTGTGGAGTTTGCTTCTTAGCTTTTCCTTCAGCTCCTCCATTTTTTTCTCCCTTGGAGCGCCAAGAGGGGCAGTGTCACAGAGGGGACGACTGCAGCCTAAGCTATCGAAAACCAGGTCCTAAATTACATATTCCACTTTTGATTTTTGTTTTGTTTTGCTTTTCCAGCCAGACTGTACACGCTAATGCTCATTTCTTCAGAAATTCTGTGCGTCTTTCTTCTTCTTGGCACAAATTTTAACAGGACAAATTCAAACTGCTGCAAAAACATAACACCTTTCATAGAGAAGGAATTTTAACTGTTCTAGAAGGTCATTTATCATTATAAGCAACATGCTCTAATCATTTACTCAAGTGCTGCCACCTCTCCAGTGAAATACAGCATCTTTCAAGTAGTTTATACAGCTGACACTACATGCAACACCCTCATCCTTGGCAGTGCTGATGTAACTATCTTTAGAAATGCTACTTTTCAAGTAAGATATACACTGGTCTTCTGGCAGAAAGTGCTGCAAAATTTCATAAAGTCAGCATTTTCTCTAAAAGACTGCAACACAGGTTGGCAGTATCTTGAGTCAATAATGACCTAAACCACCTGCTCCAGGAAAAAAACTCAGCTTTCCTTAGACGCTTCCCAGTGAAGTCTTACTCTGTTAAGTTCACGGGAAGACAAAAGAAATCATTCCTAGAAGCAGAACAAGCTTCTACCTATAGAGCGTCTCATTTTAGCTGCAGCACTTGAACAGAGCAAAGGCTCTCAATGTGTTTATTGTATTCAGACTGACTTGGAACTAGGTATTATGACCTGTGCCATTAATTTATATAGAAAATTCCTATGGAAGCACAGAAATCTCATGTTCTTTACTACTATAGCTCACTTCCAAAGTGAGAATACAGGCCATGTTTGGAGCCTAAAATATTCCAACAACCTTCTACATATTCTAAAATTAGTGATAAATGCACAATAGGCAAATTAGACACCATCACTAATAATGTGATAATCAGTACTAAGCACGACTATTTATAGGTTATAATCTGTCTGTAATGGAGTTCTGTATAACTACTGTATTCCACTTCACCTATAAAATGTGGCACGTTTTTACAGCTTGACTGCTGCTATTTGAATTTGCTGCAGCGCGAGGAAGGGGTGAACTGTGATATCCCAATCTAGCCAGCTACACACAGGAACAAGCAACAGAAGATACAATGTCAGAACCAGCTGCCCAGCCCAACGCTACCTTCTTCATCAAAACTTGGAATGAATACACCCCCTGAAGCCTTCTACATTATTCACCTATTAAAGAATTTTCACATCTCTGCCTTCTCTATAAACAGAAGAGAAGGAGAAAGAATTAAAATATTATACCACTTTTAAACTCAAAGGCAAAATTTAGCTTTCATTCATAAGTATTTATGCAAAATGAGTTAGGATGCATCTGGCAAGGTAAGAATTAGGAAAACTTTCATGCTGCAAAGCAGTCAACAGACACAAGGTAATATACCAGGCAGCAGCAAAGTAGACTGTCTAGGGATGCAAGTAATCTATACATCTCCTATCACAGCCTCTCTGATTCTCAACTCTGCTCTGGTGCTGTCCAGACCGGCTGCACCTAGCGGTGTAAGGGGCAGAGTCATTGCAAGACTAACCAGAATAGGACAAGGTGAGATCTCTGATGGCATAAGTGACACAAATTGGCTCTCAGTGGCTTTTGCTTCCTGGCAGGTATCTGCATCTTTATGGGCTTGCTCTCTTAAACCCAACACCAGCGCAGGAATTTGATCTTCAGTAAGAGGTGGCAAGTTAAATTCATTGTCCCCCTGTTCTAATGGGACAAAACTGTCTGGAGTCCCTGCTGATGCAGAAGAAGTTGGAACATATTCCTGGTAAAGTAAATTGCGTAATTTCTCATCGAGGCTTTTTATCGTGTTGTCAACAAAGTCCACCCTGGGCGGTCCTTCTCCATCCGACTCCACGGTGCAGGGCAGCTGCTGCGGCAGCAGGCCGATGCCCACGCTAGCGCTGGTGACTGGTTGGCTCTGAGACAGCAGCACGTGCTGCTGAGATGCCACCACGGACGCCTGAGTGGGACTTTGCAGCTGAGACCCTGCCAGGTTGAAGGAGTCAGCTGCAAGAGCTGTGGGGAACACATGGTTCATGAAGGAGGGCTGCACTGCCCCAGGCTGGCCGGCCTCCGGCAAGTGGGGGACTTGCGCCGCAGGTTGCCGCTCCAGAACGACATTGTCCGGGAGTGCGGGGAGTGGGCAGAGCTCTGCTGCCTTCGCAGGAACCGGGGGGGCCGGTTTGGGTGGCCCGACACTGCAGCATGCTATCTCCACATCGGGCACGCACAGGCCCTCGTCCTCCTGGGGCTGCGCGTGCTGTGGGGGCTGAGCGGGGAGCGGGGCATCGGGAGGCTCCTCCAGCAGAGCTACGCGGAGGACCGAAGCACCGGGCTGAGCAGGCACTGCTGCTTTGAGCGGGGAATACTCCAGCTGACCTCCGGTAGCAGCCACCTGCTCTAGGATATTGGGAGCAGGTGCTGGTAGTGCCAGAGCAGGAAAATCTGCCTGGCTCTGTAAGGCGGCTGAGGATGCTGCAGCAGGAACCTGCGCCAGGGACGGAGCAGCTCCAACAGGGCTGTCACATACACTCGCTTGGAGAGGAAGCTGCTGACAAGGTAAGACACCAGGCGTATCTGTCATCGCAGGCTTCACTGGTTGATCTTCTGACTGCTCCAGGTCTAGAAGGCATATGAGCATCAGCTTAACTTTTTGCAAGCCAGAGTGAAGCACAGTGAAACACAGTGCAAAACTTCCTGCCTCGTTTTAACCACAGTGAGACCTACATCTAGCCTTAACTGATAAGGGTTTCCTCTCAGAGGATCATCAATATATAGCTAAGATAGAACTATGCAAAAATATTTAATAAGCAATGTCCTTTCAATGAAAACAGCAGTGACTACATCTTGAGCTGCCTGATAGTGTAGGGTACAGTTTTAAAATACAGGGACTTCCCTGTAACTCAAATAAACATTCCTAATTTTGTTCAATATCATACACTCACTTAAACTTCCTGACTCAAATTTGACACGAAAGATATCTGTACTCATTTTGAGTAGTGACTGTTATATAATGAAGTGGAATTTTACTTATAAATTACTCTGTTTCAACACTTCAGCAAAAACAGCAAGGCCTGGATTCTTCAAATCACGTGAAGTCCGTGGCATGTTTTCACTTGCAAAATAAATACTATAAGGTCTAGGCTTCATAAAGCATATTGTTTTTTAGGAGAAGGAGAAGGTACTTTTCCAGATCTCAGGAGCTTTTCCTCATCATTTTCAAGTCAGTGGCTGTTAAGTGCAGCCTTAAGCCAAGGTAGACACACGTAGGACTTCTTCCTGCCCTTTCCTGCCTTCCCCAGCCCATCACAGCTTTGTAAGGCAATGATGGTAGTGAAGAGGATTTTTTTCCTTTTCACTAGCTTATTAAGCAATCACCTGAGAACTACAAAAGAATTTTTAGATAAGAAAAGTTATTGCATTTACTGCAGCAGTATGTTTTGCCATATAGCACAGAACTGGTAGATTGCAGCCCTCTAAAATAACACTGAAGTGCCACTATATGCAAGTTTTCCTGTCATTATTAGGTAACTTATTGAATATTGCTACCCCAAGATAGGCAGAGGAAGAGAATGAAGGCTAACTGAACAGTCACAATGAAATCATGGGAGAATTGAAGAGAGATGACAGAGCAACTTCTGAGAAGAAGATATTTTCTGAAAAATGTAAAGTTTAAAGTTAAATACCTGGGCCTTCAGAGTGCTGTGTACTCTGAGGAACTGGTGGAGAAAATTCTGGTGCATCAGTAGTAGGATTTTCCACAACAGGACATATAATAAACCACCTTTTTCCAGTATGCAAAACTAGAGATGAAAATAAAACGTTAACACAATAGTTTATATTCATTCCAGATCACCTGGCAAAACATAGTCTTAATTCCTACATTCAGAAAGAAAAATCAGAACTTCCACAGTATTAACAGAAATTAAAACATTGGCTCCTATTTGAGTGTCACCCCAGAGAAGCTGCCTTCTGGAAGGGGGATAGTGATGCATTCTGGGTCTGCCACACATTTTGAGTAAGTTTCTGGAAAATTTATTTTCAAGTGCTTAAACTTTTAGAAGGATAATAGTTACATATATGAAAATTCTATTGTGGGTACTGTAAGCAGTTTTCTCACAATGGAAAAATTCTTTAATTTTGTAAAGTTTATCCTGCTTAACTTTCCTGTGTCGGAAGTGTTCTAGCTACTATTTCCTTCCAAGTCCTATCTCAAAGCCTGACATATGCAATTGGCAAAACAGAGCTATATACACTTTGCAACTTCCATTAGTATAAATATCAATGGTATGTTAAAAATGGTGCGCTGAGAAAATTATATGACTTTTATAGGCAAACCCCCCCAGGTCTTTTGAGCTGATAATGGAGTTCATGCAGGATCATGCAGTTTCTGCACCTGTCAAAGAAGTTTTGAATTTTCCTTCTTCCCCTATAAACATGGAGAAAAATACAGCACTATGCTCAGTAACATGAGTTTTCAAACAATGCTTTCTCCAGCAGAAGTTTAATTTTTTCCAGCAGCATACTAACAGAAAGAATAAGCCCCTATTCCATTCCCTTCCACTTATCTGTAAAACTAGTGGACACACTTGGGTTCAGAAAGCCAAAACTCGTTCTGAAAATTCAATGAGATTACCAACAGAAACACAATCTTTCAGCTCCTTTTTGCAAACGCAGTTATTGTTGTGAAAAGAGCATGCTTGCTTACACCTTTTTGGCTTTTCCACCTTCTATTATCAGCTTGTGTGATTCAGGAGGTCCCTACACATCCCCAGACGATAGTTTTATCTAAGTTAGGCCTGCACTCCTGAAGGTTGCTAACAGCAACAGAGACTGCGGTTACACCTATAATTTCCAGATGTGTTTCCAGTCACTGGTAATTGGTGGATGCCTTCCTCCATATAGCAAACTTCTGCCTTAGGAGCTCAAAATTAAGTTTGTATTCAAAAGGCATTTTTACCATTTTGTTGATACACAGGCGTCTTCACTTGAGACTGCCGCTTCTCCTATTAAAAGACAAAAACAAGACAGAAGAACTAGCTGTCTTGGTATCAATGCAAAAGTAGCGTCATTCCAAGGAACAGTCTTATCGTAAGCCTCAAATGAGGAAAAGCATTACTTTTCTGGCTAAAAAACTTTTTATAACACAGGACGTAAAGCTAACCTGCAGTAACTATATATTACGAAAAAGGATTCAAACTCTGTTTCACATTTCTTACCTCATTCATTTCCAGTCTATCGGTATCTTGTTGGGGACTTATCCCCTGATCTGAACTTCGTTCTCCTTCTGTATCTTCGCTGAGCATATCTTCTGCTTTATCAATAATATCTTTCATTTGTTCAATAAATGTCTCTTTTTCACTCTGCAATATGAATTCATTCTCTACCTATAAGAATACATAAAGAGCAAAACAATAATGTTCTGGTTAATGCCTATTTCCACAGTTACCTGAAAGCTTGCAACAAGCGTGCATTGAGGACGAGTTGGCTGAAGCGATTCGTTACATTAATAGACTTCGGGGAGCTGCATCACCAAGTCTTACCATGTAAGTAGCAATTTCCTCTGGTGCATCACCATCCAAATCAAACTTAAAAGTAACCATTTTGTGATTATGTGTTTCAAGCTGACACTCCACCATCTTATCCCCTGTGTTACAGACCTGAAGGCAAAGATTAACAATGGTTATTTCTGGTACCACCAAGCTACCTCGGATGTCACCCTCAGTCAAAGAGGCTGTACTTGCATTTAATATGGTCAGTTTTGGTCTGCTGGACTTTTCCTGGCGTGAACGAGCACGTGTAGATTTCTTATGTTTCTTTGAAGGCTTTCCTTCTTGTTTTCCACTTCCTATCACTCCTTCAAAGCTGTCACTCATCTCTTTACCTGAAGCAACATCTGGACTCATGTAGCTTTGTAAGGAAAAGGGAAAAAAACAAAAAACAAAAAACCCCCCCACCACACAGCACAGAGTTATACAAAGATAAGATACAGAAAAACAGAGACTGCAAAAAAATTGCATGCCTGTACTTCTGGCCTAAATTTGAGCAGCTCCAGAAAGATGCTTAGTAAGTGAATGGAACTACTCCAAGTCAGGCACGTACTTTGGCTATCACATCTAATCAGAAAAGACCTATTAAAGTTTCTGTCAACAGCAGTGAAAGTCCCACCACTTAATACATCGCTTCATTCCCTAATCCCGTTTCCTCAGGGATCCTTAGAGTCCCTCCCTGAACTGCAAGGATCCCTTCCGGTTTTTCTAAGCTTCAGTTTTACCAATTCCTGTCTGTTCACACTCACAGCAGAAAGTTTAAACGTGGTCAGTTTATCTTAGTCGGAGAGGTAGGAAAAGAGCGAGGAGTCGGTACAGCCCCGAATAAGTTGCCATGGCTGCCATCTCTGCGGTTCTCAAGAATCCGAAAGAAGGTATTATGCCACAATATCGCCGATGACCAATGTCCCCAGCTAGTAACAGCATATTATTTTTAGCAACCAAAACACTAACTGCTAACCTTATTGCAATATGACATGTACAGAAAACAAGCTTGTAAGTCATTTGTGAAGCTGCAGGAAACATTCAGAGATTCACAGAAAACATGGCAGGAAGAAACCCTGTAAGGTCGTCTAGTCCATTTATTACCCCAAGGCATGATCAGCTCTGTCTAAACCACTCCTGACAGACATTTGTTTAAACTGATCTTAAAAAACTCCCATGAGATTTCATAACCGCCCTGGACAACGTATTCCAGTGTTTATCTACCTGTACAGGCATAAATTTTTTTCCAAGTGACCTACAGATCCCTTACTTGAATTCAAGGCCTTTACTTCTTGTTCTAACTGCACTAATCATAAAGAACAGCTCATTTCTACCCACTCTGTAGCTGTTTTGTACGTGCAGCTGTTATGGTAGCAGAGCGAGCATAGTTTGTGCATAGAACATATTCTAGCTCATTTCTTCGCTGCAGCTGCCAGCCATTTTACTTAAATGCCTTAACCCTCCGCTCCGTCAAAGTGCAATCCAACTCAAATGCAAACGGTTATATGCGCACCCAGAAAGCGGAGGCCTCCCTTTACGACTATGGGACATGCTCTGACACGGACTCTTCGTGTTGCCACAGTCATGACAGTGAGCTTCTCAAGCACGCTTCTGGAATAGGGATGTACGAATTCAATAGATCATTGAACGTCTGACATGCCTTTTGACAGCAGAGTAGATAGCAGTCTTCTCACTGGGTGAGAGTGAACTCATTCTAACTTACACTTATAGCCAGAGCTAACCTATAGCCAAGAAAAATTAGGTTTCACTTTCCAAGAAAAAAGCATAGAGGTTCATTGAAAGTCCAAATTGAAAACAATTTTCCTCTACCTTTCCTCGGAGTCATAGTATTTTTCCTTCACTAGGATTCTACTTTTTCTCCAGCAGCATTTAAAAGCAGGGAATCCTTAGGAAAAAAGGTTTAATTTTAAGGTTGCGGGGTTATATTCACTTGTGCCTGACTGACTTTTTTGGTGGGGCAGAAGGAAAATCAGTAAGAGCTAGAAGCCTTCAAGTGCATAAACTTAGTTCGTCTTGTCTATTCAGGAAAATAGGAAAGGGTCACTAAAGTCTTAGCACCAGGCACAGAATCCTGTAGCTTTACAGTCAGGAAAGATGAATGTGGTGCAAGTGCCTGCAGCAGGCAAAGCACTCGGGTGCTTCTGGATGCACACTTTCATGTCTACTTTAACCATACGTGAGTGCTGACAAGGCTGGCTCACTGCTGCCACGAGGTGGGAGTTGTGGGGTGGGGGGCGCAGCGTGTCTGGGGAGGAGAGTCCTGCCCCACGAACAGGTGCCTCTGCCCCCGTTCATCTCACGTGCCTGTCAAGCAGCCAAAGCAGTGAGCCTTCCTGCCCAGGGCTCTTCCTCACCTCTTCATCCCATCCTTGCTCGGTTCCCTTCTACTTTTCAGTATGGAAGTTGGCAGACCAGGGCTGGCAAAAACTGAAACTTGCTTATATTTCTGATGAGTCTTGAGCTGGCTCTGAGTGTTACCATTTGTCATTACTTCCGTAACAGGCGTTATTTGGGCACAGAACTGGCTTTGGCCACGTGTCCTAACTCTTGTTACAATGATATCTTTAAAGGCGTTCAGTGCACCACTGTCATCCATACACACCGTGCCCCATAGCACACCTGGGGATAGATCATTACAGAAGAAACTGGTACAGACCTCACCGTTAGAGACAGAATAAACTATATACCCAACTGTACTAGCGTAGGATGTCTTTCTACAGATTCAACATCATCAAAATCTGGAACTGTACCACTTCAGTTATTTTAACAAAAAGAAAAATCACATGCTGAAATGAAAGTAAGCCAGTCGTCATACATACACGAGGGTTAGGATACAGCACCCAAACTAAAGAATTAACAGAGCTGAGGATAGAGGTGAGCTGAAACAGACACACTTTGTACATAATAGTTATTTTCTCCCTAGACTTGCACCCTCTGTCTCCCTCCTTTTCATCAGCTCCTGCTCTTCTCCTCTCACCAAAGCCAAAGACCAGGCTTCTGGCTTAGCGTTGTAAAGAGAAAGAGAAGAACAGCCTTCAGAAAGGAAAATTTTTTGTGCCAAAGAGATTATAATGATACCTTTCACAGCTCTGTGACAGCGTCTGAAGTTTGTCCTGTATTGCCTGCTCCTAAAATATAAGGAAAAGTCATGTAGGTAAACACATTATATATGCATTTGAAAAACACTTTTAAGCAAGCTTTTTGTTACCGAGGCTCCAGTAATCCTAAACCGTTCCACTTAGCCAATTTTCAGAACATGAAAATATCCCATTTTACCCTCCCCAACATCACTTCTGTCCACAGCATGAGCATCTATGCGTAACCACTCTTAAGACAGAGCTCCCTGACCTGTCAGTTCTCTTCTGCTGTCCCTAAAGTAGAAGAGGTGGTGAAAGAAAACGAACAGGTCTTCACCACGATGGAACAACATATTGCATGGCAAAACCACACATTGGCACCTACCTGATCTTTTTTCTTTTTCTGAATGCATGTAGAGTATAATCTAATTTGCTTTATCATTTTGCATCATTTCCTGAAATATGGTAAGTATTTTCAGTGTGTTTGGGTTATTGAGAAAATCTCTTACGAAGTTACAAATAAAAGATGTCTCTATTAACAAATACAGCCCTCATACCATCTTCTTTCTCTTGCTTTCTACACAGTAGAAATTTTCCACAAAAGCTTCCTTCTTCACTGACTGCAATGCTAGGACAGACATCAATGTACTAACTTTCTCATTGTGTAGACCTGTTCTCACAGAATTTGAGATGATGCTACTGGCCCTACTATAACCATCCTACCACATATGTAGGTAACATACACAGACAGAAGCATACCTGTATACGTATATATACACACAAACACAAACCTATTCATAAATACACTCACACACATATATATACACACACACAAACATGTATATAAATCCTACCATAGACTCATAGTTAGAAACAAGCCCCTTGACTATTATCACTACACATTAATACCAGAACAATTTGCAGACTGGAGTAAAAAGCTTAGAGATTAACAAGTCAACACCACTTAGTGTTTATAACACCGTACATATGCCATGCTGAACTTGACTGCGATTTCAACAGAACTGCAAAATTAATGAACACTGAGAACACAGACATAATGTATCTAGATTTTAGTAATGCACTTGATCAAGTGTCTTACAAAATCTCATTTGCCTAATCAGTTCAAATTGATTTGCATATGAGCATTGCCACAAGTTCAAAGAAAATATAGAGATGAAAATGGTATGGCAGAGTGGCAATGAAATGCAATGTTTTGAAAATGTACAGACATGAAACTCTTCTTACACCCAAGAAAACCTCAGCAATATATGTCATAAAATCAACACAGGGGAGCACTTGGATCAGTTTGACCTTTATATGGAGAGTCACAGTTTAACAGTTACGCTTTTTGCGCAAAAAACAGCTGTAATGAATTTTAAGTGTTGACTGTTACAGCTACAGGATTCCTGTGTCTCTCGTAACAGCGGGGCAGCAGAGGACACCACCTGCGCTCCCCAGGGGTTTGGCTCTCACTAGAGATTTTGCAGGTGTGAGTAGAGGAAAGAGAGGCTTCAAAAACATTCGGCCACCTTGCTCAAAATCATCAGGCTTTTTCCACTAAACACCTTTTCTACATTACTCTGGAAAAAGAGGATCAAAGAATGATTTTGGATTGTTTTCATAAATTGAATGAGAGAAAGGAGTTAACCTACAGATGAAATAGGAGAATGACGTTAACACAGCTGTTAAATGTTTCTAGACACTTGATAAAATGACAAGGACAGACATGTGCCTCAGAGAGCACTGATTTCTTGGGTAACATATGACAGCTTATATCCTCCATATCACACTGCACTAGAGCAATGAAGTTTATTCATATTTCTAGAAACTCCTAATGGGCTGGGCTCTCCATCACAGGCTGCAGGTTTGGCACCAGCATCGATTCTGACCCTGGAGCTTGTGCACACAAAAAAGGCAGGTCAAAGGAGAAATACCTTGAGTAAGGGATACGTTTGATGCAGCGAGGTTTTACCCAGGGATGCTGTAAGTGAAGCACCACAGGCTACTTCTACTGTTTCTGCTACCTATATCTAGCCTATAGGACAGAAATTCACCAGGCTGAAGGAAATATCCTAAATCCCAGCGTGACAAGAACTAGGCTGCCACTTGGTAGGAGGACAGGCAAAACGGGGACGCAGAATCTAGTCTGGTGCCAGTACTGTTACTTACCATCTCTGCAAGAGGAGTTAAGCTGTACGTCTAATGAGATTCACAGGTTCTACTGTGTAGGAAAGGGATGCTACAAGTGCGTGAAAATACGGGCAAAAAGAGATTTAGTTTGAAAAGACGGAACCTGTTATTTTGGGAGGAAAGGTACTTCAGAGCAAAGAGGCTCAAGAGGAAGCAAGAAATCTGACAGCAGCGTTGCCGAGGGACATTTCCATACAGAAGTGGAGAGGAAATCAGACTTATTCACTAAAATCTGGTACAAATGCCAAAACCTTTGTTTTGCTTTGTTTATGAGTATCTAGGAAAGAAGTGAAGAGAAGGAAACATTCTGTAACATCTCTCAAGACTGATGTTTAGATAATTATGAGAGTGGAAAGAAAAGTCAAAATGGCAAACAGGAGGAGCCAACTATTTTATAAAGAAATGCAGTAAAAGGCATCTTGCTTATATGACCACTATGAATTGGTAATGGCTACAAATATTTGAAGAAACAAAAATCCCAGGGCTAGTACAGGGATACAATGCCAAATGAAATGGGAATAAGGCTTAAGCTGAAGAGCATGAAGAGCTTTTACATATGAAATACTTTGTAAGGCAAATGATGGTTGTGCAATTGCTCGAGACATTTAAAACAAGACTGGACAAAACGTGGATGAAGCTCCATAGAAAATTCTTTACTGACCCACGGCACTTAAAGAATGTAATTTCTATTTCTTCTCTTATCTGTGCTCAAGTATGGACAAAGATGTGTTTAGTAGCTGACTTGTCCTGCTGCCTCATTACTTCAAAGGGACATTTCTCAAGTGGTCAAGGTACAACTTATAGTTTCTAGTTTCATCGGAAATAGCCAATTATTTGCTGACCCAGAGTTATTAGCATCTAGGACAAGCTGCTCTATACCATGAGCATGGATAATCTACCTTGTGAAATAAGCCTGTGACCATAAGAAGGTTACTTAGGAGGAAATGGCTCTACCTCTTGAGATGACTCTGTAATTGCCTGGGCTGCTGAGCAGGGCACTGGGAGCTGCTGACCCAGAGGCTGGGACAGGTCTGACTGAAGCTGCAGAAGACCAGAAGGCTGAGGAGGCAGACAGTGATCTATGGGCACGGGTGGACTAGCTGTAGCAAGGCTGCCATGAACCTGTGAAATACTTTCTGGTGCGACGCAGGGAGGCAGTAGCTCAGGCTGCAACTGCAAAGGTGGTGACATTACTATCGAAGGCTGCACAGGCAGTACAGGCACCTGGGCTCCAGTTTCCAAAGCATACTGAGTGTGTCCAGTAATCTGCTGTAACACAATAGACACCTATTAAAACAAATCTCTGCTTAGAATGCTTGTGATTTATATTGATGACAAGGCACTAAAGTCACTAAAGCTACTCAGAGTTTAAATTTGCTTTAAAACAACCAAATAAAAGACAAAGTAGTCTTTCTGCACAGTTTTGAAAACGTGTGCATTGCTGAAGTGTTATTTAATTGGGAGAAACAAAACCAAATTTTGCCTAGAAATTAAAATCTTAGATTATGAACTCATTGTCTTGAATACTTTGCTCTATTTTCAATGAGCATATACCAGTGTGCATGCAGAGAAAAGTATACTCTCTACCTGTAATCTAAATTAGGATTTTTTTTACTGTAATATATATAATGTAGAACCATTAGCTAGTATAGACTACGTGACTGAGTCTTTTTTTTTTTAACTGAATATATACAAGCATCTTACAGAACACACTGTTTTCCATTTAGTTAAAGCACTTAAGATACAACTGTCCTCTTGAAATACTACACACTAAGGCCCGTAATCCTACAAACACTTCCTCAAGCGATTTTAAACAGGTGAAGTTCCGTTTATCTCCGTGGATTTCTTTAACATATTGAAACAACTTGCATGCTTAAGCACTTTGTGGGAACTGGACTGATACGACTGGATTCCAGCTACCTTAGAGACTATGTTGTTACTGCCTAACAGCTGAGTTGCACATTTAAGGACAGAACATTCTCCTTTTAGCCACATTAAGTACTTTTCTGAGGGCACTTAACTTGTGGGAAAGGGAAAAAGGGAAGAAAGGAAAATATGGAAGAAAATAGGCTTTTAGTACTAGTTTAAACTCTGCATAATTTTTACTTGTCTTTCAAAGTATTTATCAGCACCTAGAGATTTAGAATATATGGGAAATATAAAAAAAAGGACTCATGAGAGTGGGGCCATAAAATTTCACTACTGCATGCTCTGTGCACATTCTGGATGTGAGCCTAAATTATTACTCCAGGATTTAATGTGGATGCAGCGCGGCTTGCAACATGTAACATAGTTACAAGGCTGCCTAAGTGGGCTGCTTATAATAACCATTATAGTGTATGTTGCAGAAGAGCAGTGAAATAATTTCTTTCATCTTGCATAACTAAAATAATTCACAAAATAATATTTAAATGTATAATTTACCTGAGCAAGACTCAACACGCAGGTGCAAGATATCAACTGTAAAAATAACGCTGTACTATAATTCCTTTATCTACAGGAATACTTCTCAATTAAAAGTATTTCAAAAGACAGAAAACACATTTCTGAATATTCTTTCACACTTCTCCATTTTGTTTGTATTAGCCATCTTTCATCCTAAAAATATTATGGGAGTCTTCCATAAATATTTGTTAAATAACGGCTGTGTCACCACCATTTGAGAATACCAGTTCTTCAGTTCTGGCATTTGCCATGCATGCTACACGTAACGGGCCCGATTCGATTCCCTCTGAAGCCACTGGGAACACTATGACTAATTAGCCCAATGGTAACTGTATCAGGCTCCAACTTGGCTCTGTTTTTGCAAACAACATTTCTGTACCAAATATACAGCTGAAGTCACAAATTTAAATACGATGTACCACGTTAAAGATACCATGATATGGCAGGTTGAAATGGGATGTTATGAATTTCAATCCACAGGTTATAGCAAAGCAATGTAGTAAAATACAAATTCAGCTCTCTCTCCTGTTTGGCTCAGACTTCACTTCACAGTGTTGTCATATCTCAAATGTGGCAATAGAAGTATTTACAGACTGCATTAACAAGTCCTGAATCATTTATCTTGTAAACAGTGCTAATATTAGAAGCTTCATTTTATGCTTCATTTCTTTTAAGGGGGAGAAAAGATCTGCATCTAGTGTTTATTCTTGTCTGATAGATATCTTCCAAGCAGCTTTCTGGAGTCATTATCGAAGGGTGATTTCCCTTTGCTTTTCAAAGCACGTTGTTTTTAAGCAGTTCTATATCAATACAACTGTATCATTTCACTCACTCCTGCCAGTCATCCATATTTTGCCATCTGCATTTAACAATCTATGCATCAGGAACGTACTGTAACACAAATACCTGTATCAGCATGAACTAACTGTTTTGGCCAAGCCTCTTTTCCTGCCACTGGAAGATGAGAGCTCACCCTTCCTGCAGGGCCATCCTCTTGCGCTTGAGACAGGAGAAGGCAGAGGAAATTCAAGAAGCATGCTTTATTTGCTCACTTTTCAAAGTCCATTAGATCATCGCGCACATCCACGACGTTCCCTTGACAGGGGATTAAGGCATCTGCTTTACCTGAGCTCAGCCCTAGCAACCACCTCCAAAACTGAGGTCGAGAAGTTACAGGACAATCTCAAGAGCCAGAAACACAACTCCCAGTTGCGTGTCCACCACGGAAAGAGCCCCAGGAACACCTGCGTGCAACAACCACCCTACCATCTAGCATCAATACAGCCGAACGTCAAGTGGATTACCTGGTTACCAGCCCCAGGCGCAGACAAGGCCTGTTCAGAAGGATGAATTAGGCTCGGCTGGAGTGACTGAGGAGGTGGAGGCTGCTGCTGCTGGGAAACTGCTTGCGTGCTCTGCGTGTGGTGGGGAGAGGGAGCTTCGCTCTGCACGATCTGCTGGAAGGTGGCTGGGTACATCTGCTGCTGAGAGAGCTGGGACACTGCGTGGTGTGCTGGCAAAGCCGACACTCCCGGCGGAGCCACAGCAAGTAACGGTATTGTAGCAGCCGACATATTTGGCACTATTGTTTGGCAGGGCAAGACCAAAGAAGCCACAGTTGTATGAGGAAGATTCACTGCCTGCATGGGGAGGGCAGGGGAATTTGGTGCCAGAGGCAGAGCGGGGTTCATGGGGAGGCTTGGTAAAATCACAGCTGGAGTAAAATATGGAGAAGGAGCAGGTATAGGGGGCACATTTGCAGCAGGTATATCAGAGAGGTTTGGAGGAAGGTTGTCAAGTCCTGCCAGAGGAGTAATTGCAGGAATGACAGGAAACTGAGGAATCTGAAAAAAATATAATATCACATAAATTGCAAGTGCTTTCATTGATGGTACAAAGTAGTTTCAATTGCCATACAAGTATGTAAAAATCACCTGTGTAATGATGATAATTATGTCTGTTTGTTCATTTCCTGAGGTTTATAAACAGTAATACAAATTGATTTATGCTGAAAACATCAGTAAAAAGAGAAAGAATTTCATTTTGGGGGACATTTTTATACCTTAGGACCTTAGAACTCTTTCTAGCACTACTTAAGAGCCATCAAGCAACATACTAACAAAAAAGTTGCTTTCCTTTTGACGGAAAAGAATAAGAATCCTATATGAGAATATAAAGTAAAAGGTAAAATTCTTTCATTAAAAATTCAATATGTCGATTTAAACCCCCTGTCATTAAACAGGCTGGCTGCAACCCAGGCAGCACAAGAGATTCCATAAAGTTGTTTTTAAAAGCAAAACCGCCCCATAAGACAGCAGACTATAACTACGCTGCTATCACAGAAGCAGCTTGTTTCTTCCCTTTTGCAAAAGCTGCTTCACATCGTGAAGACTGTCACTAGGAAACTAACAGCATCATCAAACGGGTTCAGACCACAGAAAGGTCCGTCCCTGCTACTGAAAATAGAAACAGGGCTGAGAGCTAGGAAGCGGGATGGGTGGGTAGCAGGGAAGGTGGTGAAGTTAAGAGCTCAAGAACATAAAAAAAATGGGCAACTGCTCATGCTCTTAAGCCTGGGATGGGGAAGAGAGTATGGGGAAGGTGCAAAAAAATGCAGTTACTGCAATTTTGTAGCTGCCATTACAGGATTATCTAGGCATAACACAGGATTATTCACAAAGGATACTTTTGATTCACTGAACAAAAACAAATTCAAGAAAAATACAGTTAATATGAAAAAGCTATATTCTTAGGGACTAATTAAATTGATGTGCATTTAACACAGCCACACAAAAACTGCAAATCATACTAATTATTAGCTGGAAAGCTTTACATAACTGTATGTATTTCTACACAGTTGTCAAAGGTATTACCTGGGAGGGGGCAACTGGTGGAAGCTGTGGTACAGTTGAGATCTGAAGCGGTTTTAATGGCGTACTGCTAGCTGCCACCTGAGAAGTTTGGGGCTGATACTGGGGCAAGAGGTGGGTTGCAGGCGGGACTGGGCAAACGGGCTGGCTGGCAAGCACCTGCTGCAGAGAGGCTTGCTGTGATATGGGTTGCTGCTGGAAAGAACAAAAGAACAGAAAAAGGTTAAGGCATGTCTACTACAGAAGGGTCAGCTCACCTGGGCATAGCATCCTTTTAACTTTCAGCTGAAGTCAGCACACAACTGTCGCTTGGATCAGAACTGGTTTATAAGAGAGAAGGGTGCTCCTAATTTAAACACTACAAGAGTCTATGCTTAAAGCTCATTTAAACGTAAGATACATTACCTGAAAAGACAAATGCTAACTGTCTTGGAGAAGTTATTCATAATAATTCATCAGACTCTTCAAATCCCAGAGATTGTTCTAGCTGGCCCTGTAAAATCCCTATACTATTGACTTCAAAGATTCCTCCTATGCAGATTATACCCAGGCTAATCTTGGCATTCAAAAGCTGACTACATAATATAGTAGGTGTTGAAATATACAACACTTTCATTACATAGTTTTTATCTAATCTGGAAACAAAATACAACAATTATATTAAAAGTTCTAGCTGGATCCCAGTCATATCTGAGATGCTATAGGTACAATGTGGCAGCTGAAAAGGCAGTTTCACCATTACAAGGGAAACGGTGCTCTGCTGGCCTGCCAGGTTCTGTTCAATAGAAACGAAATAACAGGAAAAAAACGGCAAAAAAGCTGACAATAATCAGTAAAAGAAAGTTTCACATTTTCTGTGCTACTGATACATCCTTCTTTGGTTCCTTTAATTAATGCTAAAAGCAGTTTTAAAAAAATATCAGTTTCAGAGGTGTGGCATTGGGACACCAAGCTAGCTCTGGATTGACCTACTTGGGATCACAGGATTTATTAGTTAGCTCAGGCTCTGTAGCACATAACATCTAATACCTTGCCTGAGGTTCCAAAGGTGTTTTTTGATTTTGGGGTTTTTTTTTTTTCCTTCATCTTTTCCACTTCACAAGTATCATAATGTTTTGCTCTGCACTTTCTCAGGAGCAGAATTCTTCAACTGGAATTTTTAGGTATTAATACAATAAAACCGTAGAAGGTGAGTCAAGGAAGCAAGACATGCCATCCGCTCTTAAAGAGCTAAAACTCAACAGTGATTAGTAACAGCTTCTAACAGAAGAATCCGTGAATAAAGAAGTATTTGGCTACCAGCATCTAGTGTCTAGGGCTGAACACAGTGGACTGCACAAGCAGTACAAGGCATGCCGGACAGGGCACTGGGCACGGACCTGAGCAGCATCAGCTCAGCTCCTGCAGGATTTATTAGTCCTGGCAGGGTGATCATCTTGCCACGTTGAAGAGGAGACACTAAGCCCAGCCGCCCTCGCCGGCGCACCAAGCCAGCTCGGGACCTCAGCGCCTGCGCCACACTTAATCTGCGGCTCAGACAGGCTGTCAGCAGATAACTGGGAATTGAGCAGGTCGACACAGGCTGATCAGCCGGCCCGCAGCTCAGAGGACGTTGCATTAAAAGTACAAAGATTGCATTCATGGAGCTAAAGCAGTTCCCTAAAACTCCCATTTTCAACTCAACTTACATTTTACAAAATGTTTGTGAACTGGATGACATATAAGGAGGGGAAAACACTCAGATAAGTTATGCTAATGTAGCTGTATTATAACCTTGACATTATAAACAGTCACCAGATAGATGCCCAAATTTAGGGGGAGATGGGGGCAAAAAACTGAGGCGATGCAGTACTTGATCCCTAGTGTCTGAGCCACCAATGCGTAATCATAAAAGATTGTTGCATTTCATCATTTTACAGACAATTTCTCATCCTGATTTAACATCTTTTTGTTTACATCCCCTACCATTTGTAGGCAAAAGACTGAGGTTTTTCACTTCTTTTGGTATCACACCTAGAAATCCTGGGGACACAAGCTCCCCTGGGTCCAGAGACACGTTTGTCTCTAAGGCACACAGGCGCTCCAGAAAACTCCACACAGAACTATTACCATTTTATCTATTTATGTTATTTATGTCTACAATATTATTAAAAAAATTGTCTTCTAGCTTGCTGCCAATTAAAATCCTAATTTTGTAACGATCATAAATATATACTTAATGCTAGACAAGCTACCTAGTGTTTTACTGAATTTTCCCTCAGAGAATATGTTCTGAGATACTGCAAAAGTACAGTGACCATTTATATAACTTTTCATCCAACTCAAAGTAGCTCTTCTTAAAGGGTATCAAACAGGGACAAAAAAAATTTTAAAGTTCCTAAAATTTGTAAATGCCAGTTGTAAAAAGCTAAACTACCACTAAAATACATCTCCCACCAGTACTGTGTGATCGACTCAGGTGTTTTTACATTGAAAACTATAGTATAACAAAAACTGCAAGCTGGATGCATTTTCTTCACACTCCACTACGTTTTTGAACTATCTAGAGAAATTTAAGAATAAAAGTATGAAAAGTCTAGTTTTGATCTGGGATTGCATCCTGGGGGCAGATTTATCCTTGGGGCGATTCCATTTAAATGAAAGAAGTTGCCCCAGGCATGAATTTTGTTATAGAGCTTACATCACATAATACATCCTAAAACAATGCCCAAAGGAAGTTGCAAACGTATGTACGGGTATGCAGACAGAAAGGGAACTACATGCTTTGATTCATCAGAAAACAAAGACAGACTAATTATTAATCCCAGTTACTACCAGGGATGGAATTATTTCAAGAAATAGCCATGCTATGAGGAAAGGGTGAGAAAAAAAATTGTGAAAGTTTCCAAAACAGTTTTTACACTTGGGGGAAAAAAAAACCAGTAGATTTTGAATTGTCAGCACAAAGCTGTGAAAGCTCCAGAGGCCTCTATCGATGTCTCTGCAACGGCAGCAGTCCTATATTTGTCTAAAAATATGTAACATTTTTGACTGAGAGAATATGATGTGACATATCTTTGCCCATTAGAGGAAAAAAAAGGGATGCAAGACAAGACTTCAGAAGCACATCTTTTCAAGAAGACCAAATTACATGGTTTCTATGAAAATGCTTTCAGAAGAATAACGCATGTTAAAAAACATTTGAGTGTTTCATCTATGAGATAAATTGGGATAACTAAAAAGGTATGGAGAGGTATGTATGTGCTAGTCACAAAGCATACAAACATTCCCCAGCCTTGTCTACAGTTTCTACAGAAAGAAGCCAAGCTTTTGGTAAAATCACAGAAATAAGCCACAAATTAATACACTACATGGGTCTGCAGCTATGTTTCTTACAGGCCAACATCACCTTCATGCAAGGAAGCAATGTAGCCTTCACAGCTGACCCTGTTTGAAAGAGGTGTTTTGTAAATAGCTTTAAAGAACAAACTTTTGGAGGGAATATGATAATCCAAAACACACACAGAATTTTTATTTGGAAACAGTTCAGATAGAGTCAGAAAAGCCAAAATAACCCCAGTGAAAAATAAAGTAGATTAAATGTGATAGAAACTCAAGAGGGAACATGTTTCAGCTCCTCTCTCTGGACAGACCTGGCAGCGAGTGGTCGAGAGCATGGTGCTGCAGGCACCTGCTCCTTCCCCGGCACTCGCACGTGGCAGCCCCATGCCTCCCTGGGGACACACTGCTCCACCCTCCAAGACCTGCTGCTGCATGCTGGGACCCCCTCCCTCCCTTCCAGCTGCTGCTCTTGTCCCCTAAACCCTTGCCCCAACCCATCCGACTCTCTAAAATGAAAGTTCAATAGTTTCAAACGCATCGAACTGGTCACAAGCACTGGCTTGAGCAGGGCACCGGCAAGGAAGGGGATGGGGGAAGTGCATTTCTGCAGCAGCCAGCTCCTCACCTGCTGGCTGGGGGGGACACGGGGGGGCAGGGACACGGCAGCAGGTGGAGCCTGGACCACCGGCAGGCCAGGCTGCAAGGAGGGAAACACACAGTTTCAGAGACAAGAGCAACCCTCACGTTGAGAAGAGTCTCTACAATTGTTGCTCATGAATATGCTTCTCATCAGTCTATTCAATATTTAGTTCAAAGCGGAGGAAAAAGACATAATGAAAAGTTATCTGCATGGAATAGAAAGTTAATTATAAGCTAAAAATGTGCAAAAAGGTCAGCATTTTAATGGCAAGTAAGATAACCAGACTGCATTGTGTTTCTTTCTGGAAGCAAGCCCACAAACCAGCAAAACCACAGAAAGCACATACTTTTATAGAATATATTAACAACAACAAGTTATTAATTGAGTAAAACAGAACTTTTATCTTCAAAAGTTTTTTTTTTAATAACTTCATAAAGATTCTTCATCTTCAAAAGAAATAGGTAATTTACTTGAATTGGAGGCCATGAAAATGAATATAGAAATGAGAAACAAAAACAGAGTAGAAGTGAAAACAAAACAAAATAAAAACATTCAAAGGAAATTCAGATAAGGCTTGTAACAAGAGAGGGTCTCTAAAACTTCAGCTCAAAGTAGATAAATAGATTAAAAATAAACAGCATGCCAGCCTGAGCTACATAAGCCTAAAACAAAAAATGACTACAGCTCCAGTTACGTGCTGGTGTGTAACCCTGGTAAATGATTTCCCAGATAAATATGTTGATATTTATTTTTTCCTGTAAAACAGGTAGTTTTGGATGAGATTTTTCTTTGCTATGTTTGTTGGGATTTTCAAACCTTGGAACTGTTTACCTTTGATTCACAGAAAGAAAAAAATATTGAAAATCCATCAGAAAACAAAAAGCTATGAGGAATCTCTTGCTTATGAAGAAAAAGTCATCTTTCCAAACCCCCAATAAAGAAAGAAGAATGAATTTAAGCTTAATTACTGAGAATCTGTCAATGGAAAGAGCGAGTCTGCTCTCAGGCAATGTGTTGCACAACTCAATCTAATACGAATTTCCTACCAAAAATGTGCTTTTTGAGTTCTATATGTAGAATTCCGTTAGTGCTTCATGTGGACAAGAAAAGAGGAAGGACGCATCCTAGCAGAAGTATGCACACAGGAAAGGATAAATCTCAGCAGGGGAGGGAGCTGGCTACAGATGCCAAGGATGAATTTTTTCCTTCAGGTAAACGGAGCCACAGTTCAATGCATTCACAAAATACAGTTTAATTTATTGCAGGCCTTTTGTGAAGATGTAAGGGAAAACCAGGGAAAATGAAGCACTTCCAGAGTACCTAGGGTAAATCTGGATCACACAATGAAACAACCATTCGTCCTGGATTTGATTTTTCTTCTTTTAAGTCAAATAGGATGAAACAAAAAAATTAACCTACCACACCATTACTGTCATTTTTACTAGACAGGTTGCTTCCACCACTCTGGGAAGCTGCAGTCAGTTTGTTCTTCTCTCTCAGTGGTGTTTTGCCAGGGCCAATTTTACCGGAGGGCTGGAACGGTCCGGGCACGTTGGCTTCTCCACAATCAAAGGATTTGAAATGCAGGATTTTTTCTGCAGCTCTTGCAGATCTCATGGGAAGAGAACTGGTCTTTTGGCTAACTATGTTCTGTAAAGATTCCCGTAACAAAGGCAGGTCTAAACTCCTTCCGCATGGCCTGCTTGTTTGGGGAAGAGGCTGAGACGCTGAGTTTTTTGGAAGTTGATTAGATGCAGAATGAGCATATTTAACAGGCATTGAAACCTTCAACATTTTTTGATCTTCTCCAGAGTGAAATAAATGAACTAAACATGTCTGATGACACCATCTGAGGAACATTAACTCAGTAGGGTTTGCAGAGGTCCCCAATGCCACGAGATGCAATGCGCCTGCTTCCCCTTCAGCGGTCTGTGGCACCATGCCTTCCTCTCCGGGCCCTCCTGGAAGGGACAGACGACGTGGAGCCAGAGCCGCTCCTGAGTCACTGTGGCGACGGCAGGCACAGCGGGCACTGCCCGTCATGTGTAAACTGCGCGGGGTAAACCAGGAGCACTGTGCTGCTCCCATTTCTGAAGGATGCACCAGGCTTATATCGTGCCCCTCACTAGAATCGCCTGAAGATCTGCGTGTGTTTGCCTGTGCTTGCCCTTGCACCAGCAGTTGCGTTAATTGGCTTTGGTCAAAGTTGCAACAACACGTGAACGGGAGCAAGCGTGAATGTATGACTGGGCTACCAGTGCTCGATTCTGGAGCCTCAATAACGGAAGTACTTTGTCGTCTCTGTGCAATATCAAATTCAAACCAAGGGCCAGAAAGGCGGTGAATGGAAGTTTGGCCTTTATCATGACTGGAAGAAATATCTGCCCCAAGAGGCTCTCGAACAAATGAAGGAACAACAATGTGTGGCTACATTGACAATAAACAACAACAAAAAAGAGTAGTTCTCAAATATGTGCATGAGTTAAACATTTTGTAATTATTAGTTTTAAACTAAAAGTATGATAGCTGCCAGTGAAGCATTTCTTAAGAATAGCAACTATAACTAGAAACGTATGATCCGTTAAACGCACATTTTAGATCAACTAGAAATACATATACTAAGCAAGTCATTGGTAGAAACAGAGGAAGGAAAACAGGAAGCAAGCCCCAGAATCCGCACCTACTAAAAATAGCATATAAAGGAGATATTAAATATGATGTAGGACACAAAATGGTTTCAAAAAGTTTTAAACTTACTCCTGAGGGCTGCTGGTAGTGCCCCAGCTGCTGAAGGCTATGGGGCAAGGCCTGGCTCTCACTTAAAGGTGGACTATAAACCCGTTGAATAGCAGGAGGTATTGAATCAGGCAGAGAGGAGTAGATGACACTTTGCTGGCTGCTTTGGGAGTCTGAATAAACAGTGGACCCCTGACCACTGTCAAATGTGCTGTCAGCTGAAAGAACAATATTTTTTATTAAGAGCTCAACAACTCAAAACATTCAAGCAATGATTTTACACCAAGGTCAACACCGGTTTATGTAATTGGCATTTTTACTACCCTAGCCATTCCTATTATATAAATAAATTATACAACACAAATGTTATTTTCTACAAAAGGCACATACTGCTCTTCCTAAGCCAAAACCAAGAGTAGTTCCCAAGGGTTTATATGCAGAATGATATTTTAGGCACATCAATATTTCCTTTAAAGGACATAAGGTTGACATTAGGAATTGAAGACATTTTATGGATTTTGCAGGATGAAAGGATAGCAAATCTCACTTGTAATGTTCAGAGCAGAGCATGAGGTCTCCTAGAGTTAGCTCTTCTGGAAATGCATTCATTTTAACATTGATTAGTGGTGCTGCAAATTTCTACTTAAAGTTCCAAAATTCCTCACAGTATATGCTTTGCTAGTTCATCAGATTCTAATCATCTCAAGTGTACAGCATTATGTCAGATGAAGAGTAATTAACAAAATAGTTCCACTGGTTTATTCAAAGGCATACAGTGGAGAAACCACAGAAAAATATGTTATGGATTTTTTGACTGTCTTAAGTCCATTGCTGTGATACACAAGCTACAAGAACAATATTTAAACATGCCTGCAAACAAAGGCCCTGTATTAGAAAGTTGCAGGTTTAGGACAGCGTCTGCTGTAAGCAGACTATGCAGCAGCACAAAAATAGGTCCTGTAGGAATTACAACTGAAATGCACTCTCATTTTGTTATTTGTAAGCCGGAAGTTTAAAGCTACCTGAACTTAACAGCAAAATAACAGAATGAAAAAAACTGCTTTACATAAGCAGCTACCTCAGTCCAGGATTTTTGGTGATTTAGGAGTGCAATTGAGAGCTCTGTCAGCATTTATCACGCAGAGTGTTAGCCCAACTAATCTGCAGAGCTGCACAGCTACGGGCAAGCATGCCATTTCTTATTGAATGGAAATAAATATTATAATTGTTTAATTGAAGATCATAGGTTTATAAAGGTCTTTTCAAGGCTTTTGAAGCCTGTGAAGTTCAGGCACGCTGTTCTTGTACATAAGCTGTTGCTTTTTCGTTTCAGATGGTCAAGATCGTAGCTACAAAGTACATGAAAGCTTGTAAGAGAGACTTAAAACTCATGACTCAACTGTAATACAGTAAGATAGTTAGGAAAAAATGGCTTTAAGTACAGATGAACTTAAACTATATTTGTTCTTCTGACTTTCCAGCTTCTCTATTTTTCCATCTCCTAAATAAGATTTTATTTATTTGGGTTTAAAATAACAAATATATTTTTAATAGCACCAGCGATGAAACTTCAGTGTATTCATAAACTAATCTCTCAGCTATGTTTTGCAAAACTAAACTCACTTCTATATTTATTCAGTTGATTTATATAAAGGGCCACCATGGCCTTAATAAGAAGGTACGGATTTCTGTAGCATACGCACTTCTATTTTATTACAAATAATTATTGAAGACCTCAAAGGAAAAAAAGAGTATGAGTTAAGAGCACTACAGCGAAAGAGGTGAGTCAACCTTAAAACTTTATAGAACATCATGCATTACACAGGTAATAAACTATTAGTTTATATTTCTACATTTGATCTCAGAATATTATATTAATTGATAGAGAAGTAATTTATAGAGGCCTTATGCTCAAAAGCTCTAAGCAAATGTTGAAAGATATGAGATAGCGAATTGTCAAATAATAGCAAGTATAGATTACAGCTGAAGAGTAGGAAGGAAATTGGGACTTTTATATTTAGTATAATATAAAATTCAGCCAACTCATTAGCAACAGAATCGTGGGAAGCAAAAGTAGTCTTCTTCCCTGGAAGCAAAAAGAGTCATAATCACAGGGTTTCTCAAGGAAATAGAAGGTATGAACTAAGTACACGATCTAAAAAAAAAAAAAATCCTGTAGTATTCTGACACTTACGCAAATATGGCCATTTCTTATATCTTGTAAAGCTGTACTTCCTGCTAGAGGTGTGCTTGGTTATTTTAGTATTTAAAGTGGCGCTCTGTACAGCAATTTATACAACACCTGAACTAAAACTGTAGTTGTCTCTGTGCTAAAGATAATGTCTATTTAATTTAAATATGCTTACGTAAAAGTCCTGAGCAGTAAAAGGGAAACACTATGATAATATTTTATTATCAAAATATGTGCATCATGTTTTGTCAGAAAAAACTGACTAGAAAACAGCTCTCACTAAATTTCAAATTTTCCAAGCTAAGAAATATCTGCCAGCATTACCTTGAAGATGTTTAGACTTTGCCTTACACCAACCCAAGCATAAACAGATTAAAATTTCAATAGCACAGTGGAGCTCGACTTGCTAACAAAGGTTGATTTGAGGGGACAGAGATAGAGTTAAGTTATTTTAGATTAAGAAAAATACTACTTCCTCCTGCTCTCCCGTTTGCTGGAGACAGTCCTGATTCTCAGAAATAAAATCAGGAACAGCTCTGCAAGCAAAGCTAGGTAGGGTCTTATTCAGAGATGGACCAAAGTCAGTGCTGGGACTGTAAATCAACTTGTCTTGAAACAGCCCAGTGATCACTCCTGAATCAACAATTACTCCACTGTAAAGAGTTGACAGATCATAGGCACGTAGCTATCAGGGCCTGAGGAAAGGAGAGCGAACACCTGCTCCCACCCCAATGACGCAGGTTAAGCGACTTCCCTGCTTTGAGTCCACCAGCCAAGGCTGAGAAAGAGAGCGCACAGGAAGGGGGAGAGCACAGGTACCGGGTCCCAGGAACCCCAAATATAAATAAAGGGACAACCCACAAACTCTGACATTCCCAACACATGGCCAAACCAGGTTATTATTTCCCAGAAAACAGGGAAATCTTGAAGTATATTATGCAACATTCAGAGATTGCTCTCTTCTGCTGTAGATCTTTGCACAACTTCACAAAAACAAGCTGTCAAGGGTAGCTCACAAAATGCAGGAAACTCCAACACCTGGGTTTCAGCAAAGACTGCTCTTGGCTAAACATCTCCACATTGCCAACACCTTTTCAGAAGGTGAACGATAAGAAAAAATCTGTCACTGTGATCAGTTTGGAGCCAGTTCTGAAATCACATCTTACGAAGAAGCTTAGTGGTGATCCCACTGCCTGGCACATAGAAGTGAAATGTAACGACTGTCTTTTTAAATAAGTACTTTTGTGGCCAGAAGTAGGTCTCCTTTTTGTTCTACTTATAGACTATGTTTATGGTTTTTGTATTTATTCATTTTATACTTCAGTAATGTTACTATTTTGAAAGGAGGAGCTTTCCCTATATAATGTGAATTTATTTCTCTCAAAACTATTCTACAACCTTCTGAGACACTTGTGGCCTTTCAGTTATTGTGCAAAGACATGAATAGTCTCTTGCTGCTGAACTCAGGTTATTACTGATTTTTAAACTAGGACATTCATCACTGCACACTAAACAAACACGGGACTTACATGCAACAGATGTGACGCTGGTGGGCAGGTTTTGCTGAAAAGGGTGCTGGTCCGCTTCGGGCTCCTCTGATTCCGACAGGATTTGGTGACCGGTGTGAGAAAGGTAGGCGACTTGAACCTGTTGTGCCTGTGGTGCCTTCAGTTTCTCCAAACATTCAGAATCTCGACGTTCCTCTGACTGCATCCTAGGCCAAATTCTCTCTCTTCTCCATAGTATTAACGCTACTCTGTCACGTATTGACTTTGCAACTATCTTGAGATCATTTTCATGAAAAAATCCAGAGTCAATCTACAGAGGAGGCACAAACTTAGCAAGATCACATGTGCATGGATGTGCATGCATGGATGTGCATGCACATGTGCGTACACACATATTACTTGAATCATCTATTACTCAAATCTTGTCTTAACAGAGAAAATATCAGTTTGAAGTAACATGAATTACATACTTGTTCCTCACAAGTACAGGAATTCAAGACAGGGCTTGATGGAGTTTGTGGGGGAAAAAAAAAATCTGTCACTACTACATTTGAAAAAAATAGTAATTATTAAGACCTGAATATATTTTCGGTCAATTTATTGACTAGTTAACATCCCATAAGAAGAGAGTAAATTTAATTGCAAATGGGTTCCATTTCTTTTTACAAAGACTAATGAAATAGTGGAAAAAAGGAAAGAAGCATCTTTGGATAACGGTCTTCGAGCAATACAACTGGAGTAAACCACGCTACCCTTCGTCAGACTTTATTGCCTTACCCTTTCCAGTATCCACAGCTCCCCAAATTGTGGTGCTTGTTTATCACAGTAAGTCATGAATTTTGTCTCAGACTAAATTCTCTTAAAAAGTAAAGTCAACGAGTTATAGATGGGCTTTTAAAAAGAAAGTCTATCACTGAGCCAAATGCAGACATACAGACTGTTCACATTTGGCTGAAAAGGGGGCCAAGTTTTCTCAGAATTCAACCACACAGCAGACAAAATGGGAGTTTGTCTTTGTGCTCCTTGTTTGCATGAGTCTCCTAGTCATGCCCTTACAATGAGGGCTCCTTGGACATCAGTAACAATCTCCCACGGATTTGCCTACTCTCCCTACGTTACTACTCTCCCTACGTTACTACTCTCCCTACGTTACTACTCTCCCTACGTTACTACTCTCCCTACGTTACTACTCTCCCTACGTTACTACTCTCCCTACGTTACTACTCTCCCTACGTTACTACTCTCCCTACAAGTGGGTTTTACAGATTCAGAAGCACTTATCTTCAATGCAGGAAATCCAGAAGTTCTTTGCTCTTGCCCAAATACAAGATAGTTTTAGAGCTTTTTTTTGTGTTGTTGTAAAAGCAAATAGAAAGGCACAAAGCAGCTGAAAATGCAGCTACAGATGGATGCCAGTATTTTCCACTGCCTATGCCCCCAGACCGTGCTGACAATCTGGCAAGGGCTAACAGCAGAAGTGAGCGCCTGGCACAATGGAGCTCACAGGGTCAGAGGACTTTGCATGGCAGTCACCAACATGGCAAGGAGCTGCTGCTTTGCAAAACAAAGTTCAGCTTGGAGGGAAGGCACTGAAAACCTGTCATATTAACAAGTTTTTAAACATTCTCATTCCTACATCTCTGTTTAGAGAACGGTAAATTTTTAATGAGGACATGCTATCTTACAATACAGCTGGTTGTGAAACAACTTCAGCTTGCTAATCCACCAGAACATTTCAAGTCCTTTTCTTTTTGACAACATGCATCACGTGGACACGTTTGAACACCTGACTACTGAAAACCTATTAATAACGAAAAATAATTCCCTCTGTCCAAAATATGTCTTGCATTATTCTCTTCCACAGCTCCTAACACAACATAAATTTATAAAGCGCATGGCTTTGGCTTCATAATTCATAATGGCTAGAAAAAGTCATTTAGGGATAAATGTCCCCTTTCTTCCCCCTAAAGGCCTCAGATTTGAAAGAATTTCATGTCAGTCAATTAGATAACTGTTAATCCAATAGTCAAACACAAGTTTTACAATTATTTGGGTAAGGTCAAAGTATCACAGTACTTTGGATGCAATCCTTTTGCGTATACTTTTTATGAAAATTCTTTCCCATTAAAAACAAAACTTCATAAGTACAGGCCAAGAAAACTGCAGAACTTCAAAACTCCAAATACTTTCATAAACATTGAACTATAAATGTAAAATATAACAGAAGGTTATACAACAATATATTACTGAAAAAATGTTGGATCTACTGCAAAGTAGTGACAAGACGACAGAGAAGCCTGAATTTCTCCCATTAGTTTTTGGGGTACATATTGATGAGTCCAAGCATAGAGAAGCAGCTTTACCAAAATGTCCCTTTCCTAAGCCGGACAGGAGTGGTGATGACAGCATCATTAAATAGGACCCCTTGTGATTTAGGATACACAACAATAGGGACATTTCTGCAAGCACAAGAAAATTCAGGTCCTGGACTGAGAGTTTACTGGTTCTTTGTTTCTGTGACATTAGAAAACCTCAACAATTACAGTAAAGAAAATCTTTAAAATATGAGATCAAAGACTCTCTAGCGAAACTGGAAGACAAAATTGTTTTGCTAATAAACCCCTCAAGTTATGAAGATACAGAAATTCACCAGGTTAAATATATCTGTTAAAAAAAATCCAAAAGCTTATTCCTAAATATTTGCAGTGCGCTTAAATTTAGCTTCCTACGTGTGTTTAGTGATTCAGTGACTGATCAAACTTTCTTCATCTGCATTCTTCCTAATTTTCCATGAGTAACACTAATAGAAAAATGGAAAAAAGTGTTTTGAGGAATTCAGTGCAGAATATTCCTGATTGAACTTCTGAACTCTTCTAATTCATTTGAAATTGCTCTATGAAATTAAACAGATTCCAAACAAATTTAAAGACATTCAACAGCTAACAGAAACTGGCAACACATTTTTCAAAGTGTAGTACTAGAAGAGACATCCATGGTCCCTAAGTGACTTGCTGTTTTGAAATGTCATGTCCTGTATCTGTTTCAATATTTGATAACCACTTTTTACAATTATTAGTTCTTCCCCATTTACCTTTCAACTTTTGATAAACCACTTTTTCAGCTATTAGGTTGTCTCCATTTACCCCGTTCTTCTCGCATCCATGCTAAATCATGCAACCTGCTTAAATTAGACACAGGGAATCTTTTAAAGGGAAAGTACTTTACCAGACTTGCTCCTGCTGTCCTTTGAGATTTATGCACTAATTATATCTATGTATGTATATATTTTTTTTTTTGCCAGGAGGAGTTTATTTTACCATTTCTTGTGCAACATCATCAGGAGTTTCCTTCTCCAGATCAAAAGTAAACTCAATGGCTCCATTATCTTTGGGTTTTCCTTTCAGTTTCTTAGGATCTTCTACCCAGAGTCTTAAGGCAATAGAGGATTTCCTACCATGGTCTTCTTCTGCAAGTTCCACTCTTACCCCAGTATCTTCAGCAAAAAAGGCATGGCTTAATAAATCTTTTATTTCATATCTGCAATGGATATAAAGAATATTCAAATACTGCAAGCTTCAAGCACTTTCAAATAAGTTTGTGACAAGAAATTCCTATTAAAGGCAAAAATATTTACAGTATGTCTGGTGTTCATCCATACAAAATTTGCGATTGTAGTGAAAAGTAGTAGTATTGCTAGCGTTACTGCTGAAAACCAGACGTTTCCTATTTCACAAAGTTTCAGCAATATTCATACACCTTAAGCATGTACAGAAGCAAAGATTAATGCTTTGTTCAACTTTTCTTGAGTATCTGAGTTTAGTGAGTACTAAAAAGAAGGTTCCCGTTAGGTAGTCTGTTGAGGGCCCTAAGAACCTTCTTTATGAAAGGTAGGAACTACTAAACACAAGGCACACTAATCTAGAAGAGACTGGTGTAAGATGATTAGGTTTTAAAGCCAAAGCTAGAAACAAGACACAATTTGTCTTCATATACGGAGGCTAGTTATCAATGGAATCTGCTATGAAGGCATAGAGTGAATCCTCTGCCGCATGAAACATTTACGTGAAAAAAAAAAATCTAATTTAGGGTCAGTTCCATCACAAGTTGTGCTCCAAGCAGGACTTCACAAGTGAGATCTTTCAGACTGGTATGCTACAACCTGCTCTCAGGTCCACAGCAATGCTTTCTGACTTCATTCTTTGAAGTTGAGAGACACACAACAATTACGCTTACTCTATTATCCTGACATTTTATGGCAAGAAAGTAAGCAATCATTTATATTTGTATTTCCAGGTGGTGGACGAAGTTACTACCTATTATGTAGGTGAAGTGTGTTTTCTCCTGAACAGGGAAGACTCAGAGGCTGGAATAGAAATCCACAAAGAGATTCAATATCTGTGTATAAAAACTGTTTAATAGAAAATGTGATTGTTTGAAACAAACCTTTCTTCTTTATTTTTGCAAATGCACTCCCCAATTATCTCCTTAATTTCAGGATCAGTAACTTTCTCAAAGCTTGCTGGCTTTATACCCTAAAAGGGTAGAGAAAAATAATTCAGTTTGAGAGCAAATTACATTATATCTCTTAGTTAAAGATAATGTTAGTACATTTTACAGAGAATTCAACCCTTGGAATAATCAATACTTCAAAGTTGTTAGTCTTAACTTAAAACTGAATTGAGGTTTTAGGGCTATTACATTTCTAAGTACCTTTGTACTTTGAAATAAGTGCATTAGTTTGTACATGCAACTCAGCAATACACCATGCAAATCTCCCTTTTCTTTACTGCTAACATTTTCAAGTCTTACTTTCATACCCTGTGGACTCTGAAGTCAATATTCAAGAAACAGACACATCTAAATTCTCAAAAGGAGAATTTTTCTTCGGAAGTATTCTTTTTTAATTTTTGCATTTCTTGCATTAGCTCTCAAAGTATTAAATAAAGAAAATAATCATATTTTTCTTCTAATAGCCAGTTTCAGGAATGAGTCAAAAATACCTTGGAAGACCGGACCAATGCAATATTCTATATTTCTGCTCCCCATAAATATTTTGCTTTTCTATGTCCCCCAACACTGCCCAAAAAACCCAAAACAAAGCAAAAGAGAAGGAGAATATGCCTACCAGCCCTACATTCCACTTACATTTCCCCACTATATTGTTCGAATCTTAACAGGAACACGTGACAAAGCAGGTGTCACCTATAAACTGAAACAAATTAAGCTACATTCTCAAAAGTCAACATTTTTTCTGGGAATACTGTTCACTCCCAGGTTTGAATAGCTAACCTAAGAGCACAGCCTTTCCAGAAGAAACCCATCTGTTCAATGCAGAAGAAAAGTTACAGAAACAGAATCCGCTTCCCCACACAGGGAGCTCTGGCTCTACGCAGATATAACAGAAATCATTTGTATTTCTTCAAGCTTAGGTGGGGTAGTTTCAAGAAGAGAGAGGGGATGTAAAACAAATCCACGCACACATCCTATGGCAGTTACAGGTCATCTCTCTCTACTGGCTAATATTTCAGGTCCAAGTTCTTAACTCAGCACAGTCAAGGTATACAGCCCCTTAATTACACAAACGTATGTCCTGCCAGCATGAGAAGTAGTATGCAAGTTCTCAGGCTAAGGAATAGTTTATATATGTCATCTTTCAGTATATATAATCAAAAAAAAAATTTTGTTAGAAAAATAACCCCAGGAAAGTCTGAAGAGTGTACAAACGATGTGCAGCTGTGCATTTTCAATGCCTAGATTGACAAATTTTTCTGATGTGAAGTTGGGGAGAGGAAAGAAGGGATGTTCACTGAGAAAATAGGCCGCCCTACCATGATCCTTGTCAAATGGGGTAGGAGGAACAAATACACACTCAACATCGCTAACACTTAACTTATCCCATGTAGTTCAGTAACTCTTTTCCTGTAAGTACTTTTCAAGTGTATATTCAGCTGTAGAAGACAAAAGCTTCAACACAAAAAGTTATCCTTTTCTTTTTGAGGTTCAGCTTAAATTAAAACCATGTTAATTCATTCCTAAAAGTACATATATCTTTACCTACTAAAACAAGGTGTATATGAGTAAAAATTTGACAAAAAGGATTCTGAAATAGATTCTGCAGTTAAACCCTGTCACTTAAGGACGTAAGTGAAGTCAATAAAGGAAATCAGGTTTGCTTTTTTGCTCATCTAGAAAACAAAATCTAATTAAGCACAAAATTGAATGGGATTTGGATTTAACTCCATTCAGATCCTTTTAAAGTTTCACCCTGAAAGAATAATAATAATGGCCTCCTTATCTGCTACTATATGGTCTGCAGTCCTGAAGGGTGGACTTTCAGCTCACCTGATGCTACACTGCTTTGGATAAGAAGTAAAATATTGCAGAAAATGTCTCTAAGTCTTCAAGCACTTCACTGACTTTGGTCTTGAATAAATTTTATAGGCAAACTTCAGTAAGGGTTTGCATCTCTAAGAACTTCTGAATATTCCAAGATCAGATTATACTTCTATCTTTTTATTAAAATTCTATTGCCACTTAGATCCTGTATTTAGACTTTAAACTTGGCTCCCTCCCTGCTTCATCTCATGTTAACCACTTCACTTTTGCCTTACAACTAAAAAGAGTAAAATATGTAATTCATAAACATTTGGGGGGAGGGAGAAAAAACACAGAACAGTCATATAAAGTCGGTTTTCCAGTTTTGTCTAGGCAGAAGGCTACCAAGATTAAAGAAAAACACTGCAGAGGGAACAAAACAGAATAATACACACATGCAACGAGCTGACTGTTGGCAAAAAGAATTCTTTGATTAAGGAAAACTAAATTTTAATTTATTAGAAAAATGTGTCAAAATGAGAGGGAATATCTGGTCTACCACAGCCCATCCTAATTAAAAACTAGGAAAAAAAACCCAAAAAAACACACCACAGTATATCTTTTCAAGACTGCTCCTTAAACAAACTCTGATACCTTTCATTTAGAAATGAAAGAAAACAAAAAAGTACCAAAAGATATTTTTAGTATTAATCCTCTACCTATTAAAATCCTTAAATAAAGCCATCATCAGCTCTTATTTCAAAGGCTAAGTTTCTAGCTGCCCTCATGATGACAACCTTGAAAAAAATAAGTCAACATAAAATAACTACGAATTCACCAACCTTGAACTGCTTCTCTTCCCTCATGTCACAGGGTCCTCCTACTCTCACCTCAGAAGGATGGCCTTTGAGGATTCAATGCCACAATAAGCTTACTGAATTTTGGAAAGACCCAAAACTGCTTTGCTGCCAAAGAGCTGCTCTGCCCATGCTGCTGTGATGGGGAACTGTGTCCCCCTTGCAAGCCAGCTGCCTATAGCCGATGCCTCCCTTCAGAAGGGCCACAGGTTCCCACCAGAGGACCATCTGGGGAACAAGACTGCTTACTGTAATGAACTCAGCACTGCTCACCAGAAACTGGGCATGCTGTGTCAGTGCTTAGCTTGACTACAATATAATAAAAATCAAGAGGAGGAGCATTAGTGAGGAAGAAACAGAAGAATGAAGAGATGTATATTAAAAGGTACCAACTAAACACAGAAAGGAAATAGTCAGCATGCTGACAAGGGAGCCACCACAAGGCTGAACAGCTGATAAAGAGTTGATAAGGTTTCCAATATTTTAGCAGAGGTCTCATGTTCCTGTTCTTTTAAAGTTGCACAATTTTTTTTGACAAATGCTTGATAATGCCTCATCAGTATGTCATAAGCGACTGAAAAATCAGACAACAATTTAAAATAATAAAATATAATTTATAACAAAATATACTTAATTTTCTTGATTTTGAAGGTCTGCTCATGATTTTTGAGCACCGATTTCTTTACTTTAGGGTTAGCAATATTAGAATAGGTTAGTATTCTCCAAATGAAGTGTTAGGAATACTGGAACAATAAAAAAAACTATTTTAAATGCAGTGCTCAGTTTGAAACCAGCTAGCATTAAATTGCATCATTTCTGAATAGCCTTCATCTTAAAAAGATCTATGAGGGTTATGCTTTCAGGATATGCATTGTCATCTCTCATTAGTGCTTCATGTGGGTTTAGCATTGCAACTCTCTTTCCATAATTTTAGGAAAAGTAATCACTGCTTCAGTAACCAACACTAAATATTTGGGGTGTTCAGATAGGCTAAGAGGCTATCTTGTTCTTAGTAGTTTAAAGAAATTTTTGTTAATTCACAATGGAACATAATAAGACAAATCTCTATACATTTCCAGGCACTCTAGTTTGCTATAGGAAACCATGAATTTCCAACTTAATGACACCTATCAGGAAGAACAGTTAATAAAGGACTCTGCTATATCTGCTATAGCTCAATGTTTACCGAAAAATACCCCACAAATGTGCATAAGTTTCAATTTTAACTGAAAAAAAAATGAATGCATCAAACACAGCAGTAAAGGCTACTTTCACCACGTTACCTGAAGAGCTTTCTGCTATCGGGCAACATTGCCTAAGGTGCATATTGAGGCACTCAAGGGAACATACCAATTGCTTTTTATATTTGCAGATTGTTTCATAGGTATTTTGACACAAGCTAAACCTATGAGAGACACAAATAGTACATAACATATCACAGTATCTCTCAATTTTAATTTTCTTTTCCAGAATTCATAGATTCATCATTTAGGTGGCTTGACTTGAGTGCTTACATGACTGTAACAGAGCAGGTCAGGACACACTGGGCATCTAGGTTTGCTTTGAAAGGTTTCATCCGATACATCCCTGAAGATTGACCCTGATTTTTGACCGTACATATTGCTTCCATAATGGTGACTCCTACAAACGCCATGGCTGTTTCAACATCCTTTGAAGAAGTGCTGACTCTTCTCAAAACATCTATTGTATTAATCTACCAAACTCCTAAATTACAAATACATGACTAAAAGAAACAAGGACAAAACACGCACAATGAACTACATTTTACTCAGAGCCCCGACGCTACGCTGTGCTTTTGCTCCTTAGTTTTCATTAACATCTCCAAGGCCAGCTCATTATCCTGCTGCATCTCCTCCTCAGAGCACTGTGCCATGGCAATTCCAGACCTCCCCATGATGGAGGGGGCTTATCTGAAACACACGTTTCTAGCTGAAATCAAAGGCTCCATCTCATTCATCTATACAAAAGTCATCTCTCTTCTCTGAGCATCCCTAAGGAAACATTGCACCAAAAGTCAAAGCATACTGGCTAAGGGATCCTTGTCATCCACAGCAGTAGGAAAACTGTACAGCCATCTCATAAACAAAAGTTAGTCGACACAGGGTGGACAAGGATATTTTCATACAAATTCTTTAAATGCTAAAACCTAAGTCTAAGAGCAAGACAAGAGAGAGGAGAGCAAATAACCTTCCTTTCAAGAATCTTTCTCCAACAAAAGGGATTATTTACTTTGAATTCCCCCTGCAAAAACAGAACTCATCAGTAGAATGAGAAGCATTCAAATAGTCTCCACAGCTTCTTTCCAAAGTGATTAGATTTGAAAGACGACTACACCGCAC